GTTTTGTTCATAAAATCTTTTCCTACACCGATGTCTTCAAAGGTTCTACCCAACCTCTGTTCCAACTAGTTGAGAGTTTCTATTTTAATATTTCAGAGCTAAATATTATTAACACTTTGACCTATATGGGATTATATTTTTGGCACAGATTATACCCATTCTTTCAGTTAAAAACTGAAGAGGAACAGTTTTACTACCTAATGAAATTTCTTCAAAAAAATTTTTTTTTGATTCAGACTATTCTATCATTTGATACAGCCCTACTTTTTTTTAAACATACAGAATTGTTGGATACTGGAATTGTTTACAATGGTTTATTGTCATTAATGTCATCTTGGTAAACATTCATTTACATAACTGTGTATAAGTATGTGTATCATTGGGTTCTTCGAGATAAAGTATGTAGTGATAGAATATGTTTTCCCACAAGGGCAGAGTGTGTTTCTGAACAGAAGAGGCCCGCATTTCCTGGGCCATCTCTTTCAGATTGGCAAGCTGCATCCTTTGGCCTAGATCCAATGTTCACTCGCCAAGCTGCACTGTGCTCTGGGGCGGCAAATACTGTTTGTTCCTAGAAGAGGGTGTTGGGCTATCCAGAGTGGCTACCTGAAGATCAGTAAACTGGGGACCATGCAAGTAGAGGGAGGATGGCCTCCTGAGAGTGGGAGCAGGATGACATTCTCTGTAGCACAGTGTGTAGTTATGTAGTGGGGGTGGGGGAGGAAGCCATGTCCCCACCCTAAGGCTTCCTGTTGGATTTTGCAAGCACACTCTCAGGAAGGTTGCTCAATATCAATTCCCCTGTTTTCAAGGTCAATTTCCTGAAGACAACCATATTGCTCTTTGAAATTTTTTTCCCAATACGACATCAGTTCTGCGTTTCTCAACCAAATTCTACTCACATTAGTCTTGTCTTTTCTTCTTTTTTCCCTTTTTCTGTCCCTCTCTTCCTTTGTTTCCCTCTCTTCTTTATTTTCCCTTGTTAAATAGAGAGAAATGTAAATAAGCTGCTTAAAAAAATCTGAAAAAATGAAATGTGTACAGGATTATATTTACTTGAAAGAGGCCAATCATCATTTCCATGTTTCCAGACTAATGAATGCAAAGGAGTTCTTCATTCTTGCAATGATCAAATACAAGGTGACTGCCTGTTACCTTCCAGGCAGTGATCTGGGCCATGAAGAATCAGAGATGGAAGAAAGCATGAACTCTGTCATCTAGCAGCCCTAGTCTTGCAGATACTGTATTGTTTTGTGTTAGACACTGGGCTATTTTGTGTTTACTTTTTTTTTTTTTTCCAGTACTGGGGATTGAACTCAGGACCTTGTGCTTGCAAGGCATGGAAGGCACCACTGAATCAAATCCCCACCCCTTGTTTTGTGTTCTGTCCTTCTTTCTTCCTTCCCAGGAAGAGAAGGCTTTTCATTGCTGGAAGGTGAATTTGAGCCATAACTGTGACCACAGACACACACAGTGTGGCTCTCTCATCTTCCCATTGTTTCTAGGACCCTGGGACTTGGTGAATAATGCTGGCATCTCCTTCCCCTCTGCTCCCAATGAGTGGCTGAACAAGCAGGACTTTGTGAACATACTCAATGTGAACCTGTTGGTCATTGAGGTGACTCTGAGCCTGCTGTCTTTAGTGAGGAAGGCACAAGGCTGCATGGTGAATATCTCCAGCATCATGGGCCGGGTATCACTCTTTGGTGGTGGCTACTGTATCTCCAAGTATGGTGTAGAGTCCTTCTCCGACTTCCTCAGGTACTGGACAGAGATGGGGTCCCCTGGACCTTCTTCTCCCATTGTTTCACAGTAACTTGAGAGGTTTCAGTTAGTCTCAGCCTTAAAGGCCCATCTTGGAGAGCCTTCTGTCTGGAGTTGTGACTCTCACTTCCCCTTTCTGGACTATCAAGACTGCTGAATTCCTTGCCTTCTCCTGTGTGTTTTGCAGGAGGGAGCTTTCCTATTTTGGGGTGAAGGTGGCTATTATTGAGCCTGGTTTCTTCAAGACTAATGTGACCAATAGTGAAAAATTCATGATAAGTTTACAGGAGGTGTGGAACCAGAGCAGCTCAGAGGTCAAGGAGATCTATGGTGAGAAGTTTCTGCAATCCTGTAAGTGAGCTGTGGACAGTGGGAAGAGAAGCAAACCCCTGTCTGGAATCCTTTGTGTACTATTAGTGTCTTCAGTAGATGAGGTCTGCCCTGGGCTCTGTCTCCCCACAAAGTAAGCACATTTAGCCCCATTTCCTTGGTGCAATGTGGGTTCTAGTCACCTAAGGAATGGTTCTGGGTTAGTAGAATGTGGGACACTGTTTCATCTGAACTCCTCATTATCATGAGGACAAAAGGTAAGGAAGAGAGGAGACACGTGTATGGTCATGGCCCTCTGACAGGAGAGCTAGCTGCTTCCCTGTGGTTGGGTAAGTCCAGTATAGGGAAAGACCTTCAATTTATGCAGCCCAGATAACCCAGGAAGAGAGGTGGAGGTGGCTTAGTGTGGAACAGCAGTTCACTGAGAATGAATTGTGGCACTTCCTGGTGAATTTGGCTAGATTTGATTTGGCAAAGCTTTTGGGTTTGGGGAGCATGATTTCTTAGGGAAAACTTCCTTCCTAAGTTGATCCCAGAACAGGAATGGTGGGAGGTGGAAATATACCTACACCATTTCTCTTTCTGTACAGGCCTGAAAAAATTGGTATCAATGGAGCAAAAGACCAACCCAGGCCTGTCCTGGTGACTGACTGCATGGAACATGCACTGACTGCCTGTCACCCTCGCACCCGCTACTCCCCTGGCCTGGACGCCAAGCTCGTTTACCTCCCCTTGAGCTACCTGCCCTCGAGCCTGGTGGATGCCATTGTGTACCTGGGCTCCCCAAAGCCAGCAAAAGCTCTGTAAAGCCAACTCTTGGGAGTATGATTGGGGGAACGTGGGTACTGTGCGAGGGCTGGGCTATGTCAGGGAAGGGAAGTGGGTGGAGGAAAACAGCTCTCACATGCCAGGGTACCTATCCCACCTTCCTAGTCCAAAGGCTTTTTCTGAGGTATTACTCAAGGCTGGTGAAGTGAGAAGGAAAGAGCCAAGGAATTCTGCTGAGGAAAAGGGACTCAGCAGCACTCACTGATGCCCAGTTGACCTAGGCAGCTGCTCAAGGCTCTGAGGAATCTACACACCTGGGGTGGCTGGGAGCGTGTGGGAGGATGCACAGCCCATCCCTCATTTGCCCCTTGTCTTCCTCCTGAGGGTATGCATTGGTCTTGGCTACTGTTTGTCTTCCCACAACGTAGAAATGGCCTGGGCAACGTAGGGGCCCCTGTCCTTTACAATCACTGTGTAGGTGGTGAAGGGCGAGAGGGGAGCCACCAGTCTATCCCCTTGGGGGTTAGGTGTTGGTTGGGAGGCGGTTCCCTCAACAGGGATCCTGGTACAGGACATACAGACTCTTAGGGTTTCTGTCTAGATGTCCTCCCAGAGCCTTACCCAGTCATAGGTGGAACTTTTTTAGAGGTGGTTGAAATCTAAAGTGTGTGATACTGTGATTCTAAATCAGTCCACTGATTGGTTTTGCACCACCCTAATCCCAGTAGCCTAGATAGAGTACAAAAGGGGCAGAAAGAAGCTGCTTAGGTCCCTTGCTTGCTTGCTTTGCTACCTTCTGGCTGCCAAGAACTGTTTCTCCTGTGCCATGCCTGTTTGCCACACCACTCTGCCTTGGAGCCAGCCAATTATGGACTGAAACCTCCACAAGCTGTGAACTAAATAAATCTTTCCTCCCTTAACTTATGGGTATTGGGTATTTTATCTCAGCAATGAGAAAAGTGACTAAGACACAAACCAATTTCTTTGTCTTCAAATCATGGCTTTCTTTTGATTACTTTTGTTTTCCAATAAAAGAAAACTTTGGATGCTTGGAAAGATCACCCATACCCATTAATTTGAAAATGCCTGGAGGAGAAGTGAGGTGAGGATCACTGGATGAAAGAAGCACCTTCTTGGAAGTCAAGGATGAGAGAAATGACTCGCAGAGTGATTAGACACTGTTCTCTCTCGGGCCTTCCTGACACAGAATGAGGGCCAATTGTTTGCCTTCCAAAACTTCCAAGTAGTTGAGCTTACAAGAGTTGACAGAAGAATGGGCAAGCAAGGAGATGTTCAGAAGGGACAATCAGCCTCCAATTTCTTTCTTTTTTTTTTTTTTAAATCCAGTGGTTATTTATTGATTTACACTAACAAGGAATGTAGGGAAGAAGGGCAAATGATGAAATGTTATTCTCAGGTATGTAATACCTTTTTAAATCTCTGTGGAATTCATAAATTCAGTGGTTTACCTTCACTGGCTAGTTTTTTGCTAAAATACTTCATCACCAAGACTTTTCAATCAAAGTTGTCCAAAATTCTATAACCAAGTGTATAACATGAATTGAACTCAATGAATACTAGACTTTCTTCCAGCTCTGGTACTGTGCACATATTAGGCCTATGGAAGAGCAAATTAAGGCCTTTTATAAATACCTGGCATCATAAAGAACAAGAAAATAGAGGCATTTATAGCTAAATGGATGCACATTGAGGCCATACTCTTAAGTGAAATAAATAGGACACACATGTAAATACCGAACAGTTTCTCTGGTATGAGAAACTGAAGGTGTAAACAAGGATCAAAATGTATAATTGATATTGTGAAATAGGAAGAAAAGGTTTAAAGGGGTAGGGGAAGTGGGAGGGGTAGGGGAAAGGAAAGAAGGGAAAGGAAAAAATATGAGAAAAGGAAAAAATGGAAACAAAGTCTCTGTACATAAGGAGGGGTGGAGGGGGTGAAGGGAGGGCAGGGGGATGGGGAAAAAATAAGAACCAAGGTACATCATGTAAAGGTGAATGTAACTGTATTGTATGCCTAAAATGTACCAATAAACTTAATGGAAAAAAATTACCTGGCATAATCCAAGCCTTCCAAGAACCAAGACTTTTAGGGGAGATGGGTAATGTCAGTTAACTTCCTCTTCGTTTGAAAAGGACAGACAGGAAATAGTCCAGTATAACATTTCCTCCTCAGATGGCCAGCACAATTCCCCTAATCGCTAAAAAACAGCCAGAGGGAGTGCTTTTTGTGTATTTTCACCAAAGACTGAAAATCTAGCTTAACTCAGGAGCAAGCTGACTAGTTTCAAGCCCTAAATTTACCAGTGAAGTTTACTATATATTGCTAATGATAATTGGGAAAGCCCACTAGGCCCTGCTGCTTCTAGGGGAGATAAGAGGAATGAGGAGTAGGAAGGTGTAGGCCTCACAACAATCAGAGAAAAGGCTTTCCAGCAGGGTTGGTTCCAGGGACTAGCAAATCCTGCCCGATAATGGGGAGGGGGTTAGGGGAGAAGAAACAAAGGTCTCTAGATCTCAAAGGCAGGGCTGCAGAATAGAAGCAAGGCCGGTGGGGCTAGTTTTCCCCATTCACAGTTTCCCCGCTGGGCTGCTGCTGGGGCACCCTAAAAGCTCGGCCAAGCCCATAGGCGGGGGCTTGAGCAGCATCCCCTCTCCTGGCTGGGCTGAGGCAAGCACAGGAGGGGCCCCCTGGACTGCGGGTCTCCCCCCCCCAGCATGGGATGACCCCCCCACCACCACCACCACCCCCGCTGATGCAACGAAAACCCAAAGGCCTGCAGGAAGGTAAACAGGATACCGTTGGGGCGCCTGGGTCTGGAGGGCCCTGATGTTGTGAGGAGGGACCTTTGCCGCCTGCCTCAGCGGCTCCCGGGCCAGTCCGGTTCCTGTTGCAGCCACTGAGCTGGATTTCAGAGTGGTCTTCTGCGGTAAACTCTTGGCAAAACGAAGCCACCACCACTCCACCCCAAAACGGAAGTGGCTCGCCAGGGTGCAGGGGGAGTGCAGTGGGGAGGGGTGGGAGCAGAAGTGAGAGGCAGCAGGGAAAGGGAGAGGGAAGATTCCCAATTTCTTTTCTGGGAAGCTGAGGACCACCCCCCTCATCAACCCTCCCTCTAGAGTCCCTGTAATTCTGACCCGTGCCATTCTTCAAGTCCCCTGTGTCTCTTCTCTCACAACCCTGGAGTGGCTTTGATTCAGAGTCACTTCTGGAGACGGGTCTTTCCTTTTCTGCTCAAACTTTGTTGAACACCTCCTCTATTCAGGGTAGCACCTTGAGTTGCCCCTGGCATTCTGAGAACCCGCTGTGTCAGTATTGTGATGATGTCCTCTAGTGTGGGCTAAACAGTATGTGTATGCAGAAAGCCATAGAGATTCCTGCACTAAGTACAAATTGGAATTGAGAGGTACCTCTGAAGTATCTTAGCTTTCTTCTCTCAATATAAAGTTTGAGGATATGAAGCCTTTAGAGAACCTTGTACATTTGAAAAATGACCAGAGGGCATTGTGAAAACAGGAAGTTATGGCCCTTTGTTGCAGAGCCATTCATTTCATTTTCAACCGATGCATACAAACGTTAAAAGTGTACCTTTTTTTCAGTATTATTGGGGATTGAACCCAGGGCCTCCTGCATGGTAAGTAAGAGTTCTACCACTGAGCTATATATCTGGTCCTTTGTATTTTTGAGACAGGGTCTTGCCAAGTTGCCCAGGCTGGCTTTCAACTTGCTTCAGTTTCCTGAGTAGCTAGGATTATAAGTTTGCCCCAACATGCTTGGCTGAAATGTACAGTACATATTAATGTGGTTTTGAGGGCCATCCATTTTAAAACTTGTATCCAGTGTTGGGTCAGGGCCGTGAATGTTGAAGAAACCAGGATGACCAAGAAGAATCTCTGAGGGGGGCCGGGGATTTAGCTCAGTGGTGCTGATGCCTGCCTTGAGAGCACAAGGTCCTGAGTTCATTCTGCAGTACACACACACACACACACACACACACACACAAAAGAATGCTTGAGGAGCTTCCAGTCTCTGAATGGCTCATGCCAGCTCATTCAAAGTCAATTCATATGATCCTCTCAGAAGCAGAGCAAGAGCTTAATAGTGTCAAGCCTTCTGAATTTTATAACCCTTGATATATCCACACATACAGATAGCATCCTTCTCCCATAAGCACACTCACACACAAAATGTGCTGAAGTAAAATTAAAAATCATGATTTCACTTTACAGCCTGGTAGAATCGTTGTTCACAAAGTTTGGACTCACATCCCCACCTTCACCCTAGAGTCCTCTCCAGAGGGTCAGAGAATTGTGAGGGTACAAGTCTTTGTCACTCATTCTGTACTAAAGGGGCTGGGGGAATCACCTAGGGTGAATTTATACCCCCAAGTGACTCCAGGGTGTCAACTTGGTTATGACTGAACAGCAGTGTCCTTAAAGGAAGTGTCATGTAGAGCAGTCTGAGTCCTCTTCCCAGACAGCAGAAGAGGCCTGCTTTCATTTTCTCTTCTTCCTTCCACATTTTGTTCTTGAGAGGAGGACTGGGTCCTCTGGAACTGGAGTCCGGCTCATCAGAGTGTAGAAGATGCCACAGGAAGGTACTTCATTCCTTTACTTTTTTGACCCTCTTTGTGAAGCACAGGATCAGTGAGTCCCAAGCTCAAGTCTCCAACCCTTAGATATCTGGCCTTTCAATACAAGGGTGTCCCTTCATTTCTGGCTCCCCATCTAGACTGAGTAGGCTCTTCAGCCTGTAGGGTTGGAAAAAGGTACACACAATGAGCTCCCACTTCCTGTTCTTTCCAGCTCTTCTGTGTCTCCCCTTCTGCAGAATCCCCATCCTCCTTGGAGATGGAGGAATGAGTGGTATCACTCTGATGCTGCAAAGAGTGGTTACCATGTGGCTGAGCTGGGTTCCCCTGATACCAGCAGGTGGCCTGGCTCAGACAGTGCCCTGAGCCAGGTGGGGACATCCAGGTGCTCAGCAGTACAGGACTGGTGCCTGGCTAAAAACCCCCTTCTCAGAGTGTAGACAGAGAAGGACTTGTCACTATTGGATGCCTTGTCCAGGAGTCTCAGGGAAGGGGTGGATAGGTGGGGCTGTGGGAGTGTCAACAGCAGATGCCTCTGAGACTTGTGTTTTTCCCTGTGTCTCTAGGTGAGGGAGTCTCACCCAGACTCCTCTTCTCTGTTCCATGAAACTTTCAGGAGCCAGGGTTGGTGCCCCATGCCTTTAATTCCAGAACTTGGAAGTAGGAGGTATGAGGATTGCCTCAGGGACTACATAGTGAGACTGTCCTAAACAAAACAAAATGCATAGCAATAACACACAAAACTTGCAGGGATTGCTGCAGAACCTGGAGTGTTCTGGGAAGCCCTTATCCCCCAGCAAGAAGCCATGTTACTGTTAGGATGAATGATAGAGGAGCAGCATTTTTAAGCACTGGGAAATATCACTGTGCATGGATGCCCTTGGGAATTGTCAGTTGAAGAAACCTGGATTCATTTAAAAAAACCTGCAGTTTGTTCCAGACCAAGAAACCC